CTCTCTCTCTCTCTCTCTCTCTCTCTCTCTCTCTCTCTCTCTCATATAAGATCTGTATCTACATATAACTATTCATTTAAAATTTATACTTAAATTAGTGCCTAACTATATTTTTTGTTTAATAACTGTATCTAGTTATATAAAAAAGTATATTTAACACAACACTGCATACATAGATTATATATATATATATATATATATATGTATATATGTATATATATATATAAAATATATATATAATATATATATATATATATATATATATATATATAATATATATATATAATATATATATATATATATATATATATATATATATATATATAAATGTCATAATATGGACTCCTATAACAAAATAAAATTAGAAATGACCTAAATAATGTTCATAATTTGAGCATAGTCGTTGCAAGTATAACAAAATGAGATGCGTAAACGCCCACGGTTTATATGATTCTGTGGTATAGGAGAAATGGGAAAAGGGACGGTAGGATCGATGAACTCACCGAACGGTGCCTACGGTGGACTTTGTACGACGATCGGTGGCTGCTTTGACGTGTTAGCGAGCCATGTCTCACCTGCTGCGTCCAAACCATACACACCAATTATATGCGCACGCTTGTGATTTTATGTTTAAAATATATATGTTCCACATAAAATTGCCCCTATGTGCTATTCTAATAATTATTCGACTCTGAACTATTATGTATATATTATGTACATATAAATATATATATAATTTGACTTTAGACAAAAAATGGAAATTGGGATCTATTCGAAGAGAAAATGATCGCACTATTCGTATGGATTATTCCATTTATACTCATATACATATTTATTATATTCTTCACACTTACACGCAGAGCGATAAAAATTTTATTAGCAGAATCTGTAAAGTATTATGCAAATATCGTACTCATCGTACACCGCACCTGACGACAATATTAAGATGCACTTTATAAATTGTTAAACAAATTTTACCTTAGCTGTATCGAGACTGTGGTCACGATCCCTAGGGCGTCGGCTTGTAACCGGGCTTCCACCAGCAGACTGATCGGGCGGACCATGCGCTACCAGAGGTAGGGTACGTGTAGGATCCAAACGTAATTGTTTGACGATGTCTTCAATTAATTCTACAAATGTCTCGCACTGAGACTGCGGCAATAGATTCTCCGCAACCTGAAGACAATATTAAGAAGAAAGATATAAGATAAACATATGATATAAGCAAGCCGGCAATATACAGACATATCCTTACCAAATTATTGGCGATGTCCGTAGGTACCATATCGTCTCGATCAAATTTAAAAGTAACAGTCTTTTGTTTACTCGTATCTAACTGGCACTCGACGGTCATTGATTGCCCTTCGCCACTACTGACCGACAAAACCGTTAACTTGATGCCCGGCTTCTTACGCTTCGTTCCGGAACGTTTTACCCGACTTCTTTCAGAGGTGGTAACACTTTCGGAATTTTCGGGCGTGATTCTGGAAATAGAATATCGAAACATCAAATTTCCCATGTTTCTCGATCTTTACAGCAAGCTTTTATTTCTTCTATTTTACCGTACCCGTCGTTCGAAGCTATAGGCTGCTGCTGCGTCATGTTCGCTGCAGTTGGAACAGGTGAGATAATTTGATCTTGCTGCAAAGTGACCGGCGCATCCGGTGGCAAAGACTGAATCGAATCCATGGTGTCTTGTTTGATCAAAGAAGACCTATCAGTCGTAGGACACTGTTCCGTACTTGAAAGGAAATGTTGTTGCTGCAAATTGGTAGACGATTGTGTCGAAACGTTTGCGACGGGTGTCATTGAAATTGAATTAGGCATGACATTTGCACTTTGCGAATATTGCATTTGCACGAGAATATTTTGCTGAGACTGAGGTTGGTGGCCGGTATTACTGAGTAAATTGGATGCACTCTGCATATTAGGAATCGTCGAGGTCGGTACATTCTGAATCACTTGAGTTACCGCTGATGAGCTGTTGACATTCATGGCTGACGGTATGGACGCCTGAACTTGTGTTGTCGGTTGAATATATGATTGCGATGATGCAGGAACTGCAGCCGCGGACAGATTTGTGTGAGAGTAGATCTGTGTTGCTGTTTGAGTGGACGATAAGATCTCCACGTGGCCGGAAGGATTTGTAGATGTAGTATATGTGTGAAAGATTTGTTGCGGCATAGTCGGCTGATACAAAGAGCCAGCCGATACGTATCCCGAAGAACCAGTAGCACTTTGTTGGTAATATTGTTGACTCTGAACGGGTGGTGAACCGACTGAATGTTGATGTATTTGTTGTACATGTTGAATTTGAGGTTGTGCATATTGCTGCTGTTGCGCATGTTGAAGCTGTTGATGCATATGTTGCTGCTGCGATAACATCTGCATTTGAGGCTGCAACTGTTGCTGCACCTGATGAGGGATCGGTTGCGGAACGCTCATTTGGTTCAATTGTATGTATTGCTGCTGTTGTTGATGTACATGCTGCTGCTGTTGTTGCGGTATTTGTTGTTGGGATATCGGTTGCTGCGGTATCTGTTGTTGCGGTATTTGTTGCTGCGATATTTGCTGCTGCGGCACTTGAGGAAATTGAGGCTGACCTTGAACGTTTTGTGGAGTTGAACATTGCGGAGAATTTGCACTCAGACTTTGCGGCACGTGTTGAGGATATTGTTGTTGCTGCTGATATTGTTGCTGTATTTGCTGTTGATATTGTATCTGCTGTGCTTGCTGAGGTTGCACAACCGATGTTTGTTGTTGAATTATCGGCTGTTGTTGAACTAGTTGCACCTGCTGTGGTTGTAAGTTGTGCTGTTGAGTTTGTTGAGCAGCTGATTGCAGCTGCTGCTGTTGAAGAGGTATCTGAGTCTGTTGCAACTGCATCGGCACTTGACCTTGCATCTGCATGCTGATATTTGACTGGATTTGCTGTTGTTGCTGTTGTTGCTGCAACTGCATTTGCTGAAGCAGCAATTGCTGTTGAAGTAAGTTTTCGGCTGTGTTAGTCGTAGCATCAGTTTCCCTATCCAAGCGCTCCTTTTCCTCTTTGGCTTTACGTTCCTCTCTTTCTCTCAACAGAGTGGTAATTTGTGATTTTAACATTTTAGCCACTGCTTTAGCGTCTTCCTCTAATATGAGGCTAGATTTCGCCATTTCTAATGCCACTTCCTCCGCGTTGTCGGCTTGGATATCAAAGTCAAATTGTATTGCCTCGTTCTCTTTGTGTTTGTTACTGCGTTTCTTAGGATCCAACACACGTAATCTAAATTCAACGCGCGACAACTCAATATCCGCAACTGCCGAATCCCGCGATACCATCTCCAATTTTAATCCAACGTCGTCTGCGAAAAATTCATGATTGAGTAGATCCTTAACAAGCGGCCGCTCTTCTTTCTTCAAACGTATACACATTTCTATGATATCGCGTACTTCCGGATTTTCAACTTTATCATAGCTCTGCGGCTTAACACCCTGTACAACATATACAAATAGATTAAAATTATATATAAAAAGAAAAAAAATATTAATCAAAATTATTAACAAAATTAATATTATTCAAAATATTATTATCATTATAAATTGTTAGAATTGCACATTAATATAAAAATTTGTAATAGAAATATATAAATATATATGAACATTTACCGATACTACGCGTTTATATATTTGCGCTGGTCCCGTACATTCGGAATATGGATATTCACTGGTAGCCATCTCGAGCATACACATTCCAAAAGCATAAACATCCACTGATTCGTCGTAATGTTCTTCGTACATTTCGGGCGCCATAAATTCTGGAGTTCCTATGACACTCTTTGCAAAACTACGATTTTTCAACGTCGCTAGACCTAAATCACCAATTTTCACACTTCCTGTCGTACCCGTGATAAAAATATTATCGCACTTCAAATCGCGATGGATAATAGGAGGTGATCTCGAGTGAAGAAAACTCAAGCCTTTTAAAATTTGTCGACACCAAGATTTGACTACTTTGGGATTTATCTTCTTAAATCTTCTCAAATACCTGTTATAATGCAACTAGTTAAAACATCGTGTCACAACAATAATAACTGTAATTAATGAGAAACTTACGTTTTCAATGTTCCTGATGTCATAAGCTCAGTGACTAGTACAATATATTTTCTACGCGTAAGTGTGACTTCCCAATAGTCGTAAAACCTTACAATGTTTGGATGTTGTAATCCTTTTAACATTTCTGCCTCTTCCCTGAACCTTAATCTTTCTGTCTTATTTAATTTTTTCTCCTATGAAAAATAAGGAACATCTTAGATTTTAATACTTAAAAAGCTACATTTTTTTTAAATTAAATGTTAAATAATTAAGGATTTTATTTCTCTGTTTAATTTATGATGTCAGAAGTGAGAAAATATACACTAAAAATTCTTACCAAGAATGTTGAAATAATGTATATTCACAAATACTTGCAATCAATCGAGCAGATTTGTAAAATAGCTCTAACAATCGATATATTATCGTAAAATTAACATGATAGAATCATAAAAAAATATAGGTTGAAAAGTAAATTGTATATTACGTTAATTTTACGGTAATTTATTGACTGTTAAACCAAAAGGAAAGTGTTTGAACTATTTGACAAATAATTTATTCCAAATATCACACATATTTGATAAGTATATCTTTTTATTTCAACATATTTTGTAAGAAATTTTAGTGCGTATTTTCTTGTTTTTGATATCATCAATCAAGAGTTCTGAATGAAGAATCAGGAGGTTTAACGTAAAAAAGTGAAATCTTCATTAGTTAAAGCTGAAATGTATTTTACATGGAAATCCTTTTTTTGCTTACCTGCAATTCGCACCAAGCTACAGCTACACCTGTTTGAGTGTCTAATCCGCGATAAACAGTCTTGAAACTGCCACGACCAATTTCTTCTTCAAATTTCAAAAATCTTCCATCTGGTGAAATACCTATAGCTTTTTCCTCGTCATCGTCGTCCTCAACGGTTTGCACTTTAACTTTCATCAATAAATTTTGAACTTCTTCCATCGCCATCGTTTTTTGTGACAATTTCTCATCTGCTTTAAAGTTTTCGTCGAGCAACGGACCGATAAAGCCTTCTACCGTTTCTTCTTGAGCGACTATATCTTTTTCAGGATGTTCTCCTATCTTCGCTTCGTCACACAAATTCTTCTTTTGCATTTCTTCCATCTCAGTGTCTAATGGCGGTACTTTACCTAATTTACTTAATGATTCATGAAGTGCTTGTGCAGCCACTATATCACTAATACTAGTACCATCGTCATCTTCATATATCGTCACTCTCTCTTCTTCTTCTACTTTCTCCACATCTGTCGTCTTGGTTTCCGTTACTTCTTCCAACACTTTTGATGTTACAAATCTTGAATTTTTAATAACCTCTTCATTTATTCCTGCCCTATCTTTCACGTCCGTCTTATCGCTGCTTACAGTCTTCAAGACGTCTGTAGTCTCTTTACTCACAATATCACCGCTATCTGTACACTCCATAGATTTTCTACTTTTTACTTCTTTACCTTTACTATTGCTGCTTGTGGTATTCATTTCTGCGTCTATTGATGTAGCGTCATCTATGTCTTTTTCTAGATTAACTGTTTCAATGTCTTTGTTACTATAATGTTCGATCATTTTTTCTGTAGAATTTGGCTTGTACTTTGAAACTTTTTGCTCGTTGCTATTAGTAGATTTCGCACCAACAGTAGAGTCCGACAATGATTTTTGTTTATGATTTGCTACAATTTCCTGGTTATTTGATTTATGTACGGCAATTGGTTTTATCGGCGCCGCAGTTTTTTGTTCAAATTCAGTTAAAATCATGTGTTGTACATCCGCAGCATTCTCCGATAAATCAGTACACTCTGCGAGACTATCACGTTCCACATTTGTTTCATTCTTACCGAATTTTGTTTGTTTTACTTTACTAATTGGCGTAGAAGGTGTAGAACTAGATCCTATATGACATAATAAAGCATTAACGTATTTCTCATATAAACTCTAGTTTTTATTCTAACACAAAATTTTACCTGGTGTCGTAAATACATTCTCCGTTGCTGCGATTGCTTCTTCGGCATCGCTAAAACTACGATCATTTTCATGATCTAATGATGATGAATTCACACTTTGTGTAGATGACTTTTCTGAGATGCGCAGAGTAGATAGTACTTTCTTTTTGGAAGATGGCGAGCTAGTCGTAAGACCGTTGCTAGTTATAGACAAAGAATCAGTATTCTGATCATGTCTCTGTGTTCGAATTTGTTTCTTGGAGATACTAGCGGGACGACATATATTGGATAATTGGACCTATAAAACAGATAGTATTAGATTGCTGTATTATACAACTTAAAAGATACAGAGATGTTGATTAATTTAATAATACACTAAATATATTAAATGTTTTTTGACATCATGTAATTGTTTGGCCAAGTAAATGCCAAATTTGCAGTAATTTAACGCCAACAAACGAAATTTAAATAACCTTTCTATCACCAGTAGTGTTGGCACTAGGACCTGCTTGCGCGACAATAGATAACTTTCTTTGGCGTCTATGATTATGTGCGTGGCCGTGGACCCTTTGAGTCGTAACAACTGTGCAAGTCCCTCCACTTTCCTGAGAGGCTAAGTGGCCCACTGCCAGACTAATGCCACTTTGGCTACTGCTACCACTGGCCACCAGTTTAGGACATAAACTAGACAAACCACCACCAGATCCACCTGAAGAGCGTTGCCTGTTTGTTTCATACCTGAAATTGGATTCAAATCATGTATTGACTTTGCAATGAATATACATATAAATTTTATTTAATTCAAATAAATATATCAAATAATACCTATTCAAATCTCATTCAACTTTTTTTAGATTAGTTGGATTTTAAGAACAAGATATAGAGTTTCATTTACATTTAAAATATTAATTTACATTTAAAATATTATATTAATAATCAATAGTATATATACTTAAATTAATGAAAAGCTTGTTTCTTTGTGAAATCTAATGCATTTAATTAAGATAATAAAAAGTGTGATGTTTGCACAAATACATATAACAGAGATATTTTGTACTATGCAGTTAATATGTATATATGTATATGTGTGTATGTATATATATTATATATGTATGTATAAATTACATAATACATAGTACATTGTACATATATGTATATTATTTGTAAAAAAAGCAAAGTAATTATCTGCAAGTAATTATCTATATCAACAGTGGCATTGGTGCATAATAAACTTAATGTATTAATTTGATACAGTACATTCTCGATTATCTGAACAAAATGGAATTAATCTAATTGTAGACTATACCTGTGTGTATGTCTCTATGTAAACAAACATTTCTTCTATATAGATCACGTGATATTGTTGATACTTGATGTCAGTATCAATATCACTGTTTCTTTACTTAAAAAAAATTAATGGATATAAATGTAAATGTGTATAAAAATCCTTATAATATATAAAAATTAATCAATTGAGATTTAGTTTAAATCTATTATATTCAGAATAAATCAATTCAAATTTTGTCAATTTTATTAAAATTACATAGGAACATTTAAACAATTTTCACTTCTGTCCTTTTCAAGATTATCGAGAATCTACTATATCAACAAGATCACACAAATGCATAATTCGTGTAATAGAACTTACTTATCACATAAATGCATAATAGAACTTTATAAAGCAGAGCACGCTAAAAGATTCTACAATATTTATTGTAATCAGTTAGAAAAAAAAATTTTACAAACAGTATAAAAAACGTTTTGTAAATCAACAATAAGATGTAACAAATGACAATGTAAAAAGCATGATTTTTGATACAGACATCATTATACCTGTCCTGCCTGCTGTGGCCAGATGAGAGAATTCCACGCACTGTATTGCCTATAGCTGCTCTCTTTTTGATCTCTTTTTCTCTGTACCCCCCAGATCCAGTGCTCACCTGATGATCCTGACGATTACCTCTGTCACCCTAGAATACAAGAAAATTAAAAAAAAAAATGTTAATGATACAGTAGTATTTTTATTTAGCATAAGTAAAAAAAAAAAGTAGATATAGAAATAATTAAAAATGATAAATGACAGTTTTTAAAGTTTAATTTTGGATTATGTACAATCTATTTTAAACATACAGTAGAGTTCATAGCAGCATAGTATTCAAAACAACTATTGAAATATAAAATCACAATATCAATATAAAGATATACGATTAAGAAAACATATGTATACATATATACATATATATGTGTATATATACATATATGTATCTTAGAATCCCACCTTTAAACTGAGAAGCTTTATGTTTAAATTAGAATTCGTGTTTGTCGGGACAGGACTTAGATCACACCGAAGCCGTCTGTGTGATTTTTCAACTAGTGGTGGGTCTTCATCTACCTCCAATTGACTTCCAATCGAGAAAGCACGTGATTGTGTTAATACAATATCGTCTGCACTGTGCTTATGACTGCTATTCACTGAACTCACTGTCTTGCTGTCATTGTAGCATCTCGGCATTGCACATAACCAACTTTATTTAAGACTCTACTTCACAAAATTATTTCAACTATTTTGCGTTCCTTTGCTTTCTCAGCTTTACTCTGATGTAAAGTTAATAAGAATCATACTATCATCACCTTTTCTTAAGGTAATAAAATTAAAACTTTTCTGAATAAGATTATTTTTTAACGAAGCAGTCTTTGTTATAAAATTTAAAATATCCGTATCTGTAACATTTTGGGGTTAGGCTACATATCCCATCATACTAACTCCTGAACCAGTTAACAAATTTCTAGTATCCGAGGAGCTGAAAGAATCTGAAATCAGAAAATAATTTTATCTAATTATCTAGTATGAAAATTATAAAAATTAACATTTCTATTTTGTGTATTTCAACCTAATATTAATTTTTTATTTTGGAGAAAGAAATATAGAAAAAAGGAAAACAAATAGAAAGGAAAAGGGGAAAATCAGAATTCTATTTTAGTTAATTCACATCGATGAACAGGTCAAAATTTTAAAAATCTTAATTGTCAATTAAAAGCAGTATAATTAAGTAATAATTTAATTTCTAATTGTGCATGTAATTTAGTTTAATTAGTATAATAATATTCTCTTTAATTAAAATAACAATATCATTTAGAATAATGATATGTAATTTTTACATATTTATCATTCTTTAATAAAAACTAATCTACACTAAAATCAATATAACAATCATCTCATACACTAACATTTATGTTGTTAAATGCAGAGATTCATCTATACACTTTGTGTACCTACAAAATATACCATGTTTATATTAAAAATCCAACAAGTTATATGATATATATATATACACACATATATATATATACATATATATACATATATATACATATATATATATATATATATATATATATATATATATATATATATATATATATATATATATATGTGACAATTTATACAGAAATATTTTTAATTACCCACTGTTCCACTATCATTGAAATATTAATTGTGAGCTGTAAAAGTTATCCACTTGGTAATAAAAGTAAAAGTGACGGACTACAATCGATGCACGAACTTAAACTGAGGATATTACCCATAAATTAATTTATTTTCGAATTATCAACACATTAATCAAGAAAATAGTCCAAATGATTCAAATGTTCAGTGTTTAATCTGGACTATGCATGTAAACACGTATTGAGCACAGACACGAACAAATTTTTGCCGTTAAAGCCGCAAAATGTTGTCAAGCATCGTGGGATACGTCGCTTGAAAAATATGACAGTATATAGTATCGAGTAGGGAGTCTCGAGGAACGCGAGCGTGTGCGTGCTCGCGTGTGTATGTGTCTATATCACGACACGTTGCACACGTTTGTATTCCACCAACCAACTCGGCGGCGTGCATCGCTGTCACGCAAAAGAAGCGCGTATAACACGGCGCCAGGGGAGATCACACACAGAGCCGCGCGTTCGCATCAAATCAAATAAATGCACACACATTCGTAACACGCACACATCGCGGCGTAAGACACCGCGACGAGATAATGTGACATCTATCCCAAAAATATCGCGTCGGGACAAGTTTTGCGCGTTCCACGAGTGCGATGTTTTGCCAGGAAGACGAAGGAACGCCGATCCCGCGACGCCCGTGAAACGTCATGCGGCGCGCCGTTATTTTTGACTGATAAAGTATCGCGCGAATATCCGCGCGATGTACATGTCATGCGGAGAGATGCACGAACAGTACCTACTTCGGTCTCGGGCTTTCATGCAGGGGAGAACAACTGTCCGTCCACTCTCTCGTATTCTCATTACCTCCAACACAGACCCGGTCATACTAGCCTCGCGGTGCATCGACAAACAGCACTCGTAAATTCCTTAGCCAGCCGGTACTCACATTTGTGTTGCAGAAAATTCGCCCCGACTACACCCAAATAACCACCATTTTTTTCCACTGAACACTACGCACTCTCACGGTGCTATGCGCAAAGCGCTGGTAATCGACATAGCTCGGTCGCAGCAACGAGTACCGAGACGTCTCGTGAAGCCTCGTACGCGCGATACTAGGTGGTGCAGCTGCAGAGGTTACCGAGTTTTTTCGTTTTACTTAAGGTTCGTCTACAATGGAAGTAAAATACGTATAGGGGAATGACGTACAGGGTTAGGCTGATATTTCACATGTCGTACGACAAGCTTTTTGGAACGTTCATTAGTTGACGAATAGAGAATGTAGAAATACTCCATTCGCCAACCAATAAACGTATCCAAAAAGCTTGTTGTACGACATATAAAATAGCACCCTTAAGCCCATTCTACAATTGCGTGAACGTGGATGTAAGTGGTTGTAAGTGATTATACGACAACCAATTAGAGTAAAGCAATCAGTGAATAAAACATTCGGATTGGTTGACTCTTACGTTCACGACTACGCTTACGCAATTGTAAAATGGGTTTTAGGCAGATAAAATACTTGATGTCAATGGTTACATCGTGCACTTAATACGTTTATTCAATAGTAACTTTCTATTAAATAATCTTATAGCGAATTCGGTAGCTTGCACTAGTGCGCACTGAGTGAGCATTAAGGCTTGTTTACAGTACATTCTTATATTTAAGATCGTGTCTTAAATACATATTTAAAAACATTTTAACTAATCAAATGATTCGTACGGATGTTATACATATCATATTATGGTTAAAAATATTTGAGAATTTATTTGAGAATTATTTAAGACAATCTTTAAATATAATAACATACTATGAACAAGCCTTAGTGCGCACTCAGTGCACACTAGTGCAAGCAACCGAATTCGCTATTAATATCGACGATGTATATAAATAACGGTATATTAAGCTGGTATAATACTGATCAAGAAGACTTATAGCTCCTGCACACAGGACGCGGTAATGCTTGCCGCGCGGTGGAAGTTCGCGCGACAGCCAATCAATATGCTGCTTTCTGTAATGTCAGTTCATGTGCGGCGCCCTTAATAATGTCTTAAGATGCGAATATGACTCTATGGCCGGTATTCATAGTCGAATTTTATTTCAAGACTGTCTTAAGTAATGTCTTAAGATGCGAATATAGTATTAGTTCATGACATCTTAAGATTGAGGGTATTTCCGATAAAGGTGCCGATATATGGGAGCGTTCCAGCGTCGAGCGTTAAAGCGTTGGCCAATCAACGTATCAGGTTCCAGAAATATACTTGTAGTTCTTGCGGAAAGTGGCACGTTGATTGGGTACCGCTTTAACGCTCGACGCTCGATGTTCCCATGTAAAGGCACCTTAATGGCTTGGTTTACATCGTGCACTTGATATGCGTACTAAATAATAACTTTCTATTAGATAATCTTAATATCGACGATGTATATAAACAACGGTATATTAAGCTGGTATAATACTCATCAACAAAACATATTATATTGATAGAATACGTCGCTGTTGATATGCATTATCGATATTAAGATTATCCAATAGAAAGTTACTATTTAGTATCAAGTGCACGATGCAAACCTGGCCATTGGCTTAGTTAACATCGTGCACTTGATACGCGTACTATATAGTAACTTTCTATTAAATAATCTTAATATTGACAATGCATATCAACGATGACGCATTCAATCGATACAATAATGGCTCCTGCACACAGGACGCGGTAATGCTTGCCGCGCGACAGCCAATCAATATGTTGTTTTTTCGTAAGAGCTAGAAGGTGATTACAGAAAGCAGCATATTGATTGGCTGTCGG